CCAAGAGAAGTGCTATGGAGAGTTCTTGAAAAGAAAGGAGTCAATAATGCTTATATTCAAATCATTAAAGATATGTATGCAGGAGCTATTACATGTGTTCAAACACAAGGTGGATTGACCAAGTATTTCCCTATTTCGGTTGGGTTACATCAAGGATCAGCCTTAAGCCCATATCTTTTTGCTTTAGTCATGGATGTTCTCACTAGACATTTGCAAGAGGATGTACCTTGGTGTATGCTTTTTGCTGATGATATTCTTCTTGTTGATAAGACTAGAGAGGGAGTTGAAGGTAAACTTGAATTATGGAGGTCAACCTTAGAGTCTAAAGGTTTTCGCTTGAGTAGATCTAAAACAGAATATATGGAGTGTAATTTTAGTAGTAATAGACCTACTGAAGGGATTGTGACTTTGGGCGATCAAGTCATTAATAAGAGTACACGTTTTAGATATCTTGGATCAATTGTTCAAAGTGATGGTGAAATAGATGGGGATATTATCAGCAGAATTCAAGTTGGATGGTTGAAGTGGAGGAATGCATCGGGCTTGTTATGTGATAGAAATGTACCCCTCAAACTTAAGGGAAAATTCTATAAGATGGTAGTGAGGCCTGCAATGATTTATGGTGCCGAATGTTGGCCTTTAAAAGAGAAGCATAATACTAAGTTAAGTGTGGCAGAGATGAGGATGCTCAGGTGGATGAGTGGCTTTACCCTTAGAGATAGGATACGAAATGAGCATATACGTGAAAAGGTTGGAGTAGCTCCAGTAGAAGATAAAATTAGAGAGAGTCGCCTTAGATGGTTTGGCCACATAAAACGACGGCCTTTCGATGACCCGGTTAGGAGAGTAGAGGTATTAGATTTGACTTATGTTAAGAAAGGTAGGGGTAGACCTAAAAAGACTTGTTTAGAAAATATTAGGAATGACCTTTCTTTATTAGATTTAAATGAGAATTTGACTTTTAATAGGACACAATGGAGAAAAAGGATTCATGTAGCCGACCCCACGTAGTGGGATAAAGGCTTGATGTTGTTGTTGTTGTTGTTGTTGTCTTGAACGGATGCAAGATGATCAAATGGAGATATAAGTAAAAGTAGAGTTATAGGGGGAATTGGGCTACTATGATCAAGTGGAAGTATAAATAAAAGTTAAGATATAAACATACATCCAGGCATGTGTATGTTATATTTCATATGTTGCATGTCAAGTCATCAGTATTGTACACATGTTCAAGTTCAAGACATATTCATATTAATGTTTTTGACACCCATATTCAAGTTCAAGTGATATTTTTGCTAATTTCTCTAATACTCATGTTCAAGTACAAGTAACATGCATTTTATCACTTCTGATGAAGTCTTAATATACAAGAACAAGTAAAGTTCATATTGTTGCCTTGTAAATAATAAAATCTCACACCAATTAATATTACTTTGATTTAAACTATAAAACTTTTTGTTGCTTTATATGTAAGTTATTGTAAATGTGGACTTTGATTTCTTTAATAGGAATTGTGTAGTCTACTGAGCAATTTGTTTGATCATTTTATATGTCTATCTGTTGTTTGAGGAAAAAAAATAAAGTCAAGGTAATGTAGATTAAAAGTTGATAAACCAGGGGTACATTCAGTATGGGGGTATTTTTTTTATAATTTAGTTAGTCATGTATATGTTTTAATGAATCAAAAATGTATTGGATAATTGTATATAATTCCTTAGGAATGAAATGTGAATTTTTATACTTTTTTTCTGAATTCTAGATGTTTAGCTCTGGTATGTGAATTTGATGATGAGATCATTAGGATTAAATACAATTCTTCCAATTATATTTTGGGGCATGCCATTTATCAAGAAAAATCATATTATGTTGTGGCGTTATATGTTAGGGCATCTAATTTTTAGACCATAAAATTTTATTTTCCTATTTTTTTTAGAATAAAAATGATTTATAATATGAAATCTATCAACTATCAACATCAATGAACTTTCTTTAAGCCTAAAACATATTAAACTACCAAACATTTTTCTTTTGAGCAATGTGATATTTAAGGCCATATAAACTCTTAAACATTCATTCCATATTCTAGCTCATTAATTTTATTGATTTTCAAACTCATGTGTGAAAGTGTTTGGACACCTAAATGGCAAAATGTTTCTTTACTCACATTAACATCATTGGCTTGAATAGAAGAAGAAAAAAAAGTAGATTGGCATGAATCATGAATATTAGTCTTTAGTATCTCTTTAGGAAGAGCCCTTTTGATCATTAAATCAACTTTGCTAACTTGTCATTGCAATTCCCTCAACTATGAATAACTAATTTTAAGACAAGTTTTAATTACATGACCCACAATCCTTAATAAATGAGCTTTCACTTTAGAATGTGATCCTTTATATATGACGTTACAAAAATTGCATTTGAATGTAATATTTATTCCACCTTTAGAAGATGCTCCAAACTTTTTTACATGAATCCACAAAGGCTTATTGTATTCTACATTAGGCTCTGTTGAACCATCACCACTCCCAATTCCACAACAACTAGAGCTCATTATCCTTTAATAGAACATTTGGAAATTAGTAAAAAGTCTTGTGTTTACATTTGGAAATCAAAATTGAGCACATACTTAAAATTTACAAGAGGTTAGTCAATTCATAGAGTTTACATGATGTTCTTGAGTTTGTATGCATGACAAGGAGTGTCGCAAGAATCATACATATCTTCATCCAAAATTAAGTACAAATGACACTTTCCAAAATGACCTAGTCAATCAATGGTCAAAATTACCCAAGTAATAGAAGGCTGAATTAAAAAATAAATAAATTTTATGGTATGAGTATTAACATCCATTTAGTGCACTCATTCTAGCAATCCAAAACCCATAAGAGTGCCTTCCATTTCTAGCTGAAGCAAAGGATGAGTACATGAAAGCTTGTCCATGAAGATTCTGATGATAAATGCATTCAGCCATATATGACCTGCCTAAGAGGAAGATTTAATACCTAAACTACGCATTCATTCAACTTCATCCTTGCTATACTTTGGTGGGGGAGCCTAAGTGATTTCCATGCATGTCAATACAAATAATACATTTGCAATATACAAAAAGTTCCAAAGGACGGTAGTGTCACCTTCAGGAAAATGTACAGAATATTGATAAACAAAAGATATATAACTGATATGTGATGAACATGACGATCCCAGTACATGTTAAGTTTGTATTCTTTAAAAAGAGGTGGTGGTGAGCCTATTTCCTGCTCATGTTAGCAACTACGACGGCGTTGTCCATACATAGTGGCAAGCAGGAAGATAACAGAGCATGCTTATTATACCTAAAAACCTAAAAAATGAACTGTGCGCGAATATAGAACATTGGTTTCATAATATTGTTAAAAACAAAACTTATTGGTGCCCATTAATTTCTCAATTTCATATTCAAAATGTCTTTGTCAAAGGCAAATGTATGGTTAAATGTCATGCAGGAGATCTACATCAACCAAACTTAAAAGCATTAGGGAGCTGTAGGAATAGAAAAGTCGGTCGATGAAACAGAAGGAATATCTATTACCATTCATTTTGAAACAATAGACACAGCTTCAGGCGAAGTAGGATTGGATCTTGCCGTCGTTGGAGTTCCTTCTGTGGTACTTACGAAGACCTGGCGGATTGGACGTGAAAGTTCAGGTCGTCGCGATATTGTCGTTGCCCTACCTTGTCGGCGACTGAGCCCCTCCTCGTCGCCTACGATCCTTCGGCCTAGCGATTGCGGGAATCAGGTTCCTCGTCGGAACCTCTGCGATAACCCTTACCGCCATGTAGATCGAGAAAAAGTAAAGGAGAAAGGGCGGGCGCGGCGCTGCTAACTTATTTAAGATAAGCTTTTTTTTTATATATATATATTTATACCAACTATGTCAAATTCATATCCACAATACATACACAAACACTCTAATTCATGACCTCTAAGTTGAAAGCCTTAAGCCTAAGCTCTTAAGGCTTTCGGCATTTTTTTTTTTTTTCCATTTTCTTTTTAAAAAAGAAAAAAAATTAATTTTTTTTTAATGTCACTGCTTGGATTGGAGGCTTCTATACAAATGTCTTTTAGGGTTTTTTGTTTTTTTAGAAGCTTTTTTTAATATTTGCTTCTCCGTTAGTAATTTTTTTAGTTAAATTTTTTTTTAATTAAAATTTTTTATACTAAAAATTTAGTTTAATAAAAAAACTATTCAAAAGGAAATCTTAATCAGCAGTTAAAAATAAGATTAGGTCTTTAATTCCAACACCAAAATACTCATTCATATTTGATACAACCCAACTAGGGGTGCAACCGAGTCAAGCCGGCTCGCGAGCCGAGGGTAGCGAGCTCGACGAGCCGCTCGATTTGACGACGAGTCGAGCTCGAGCTCGGATTTTGAGCTCGACTCGAGTTCGAGCTCGAGCTCGAGCTCGGGTTTTGATTGTCAGGCTCGACCCGAACACCCCCTGGCTCGAGCTCGACTCAACTCGTTTGCACCCCTAAACCCAACAACATAACAGTTTATTTTGGTATTAGGCAAGTACTATATTGGTACTAAATTTCCTATTGACCCCATGTCACAAATGAAAGTTTCAATTTGGTATTTGCACAATTACCAAATTGGTACTAAAATTACTACTGTGGCAAAAATTTTATTAACTTAAATTCACTAAATAGTAAATTTTCATTAATGCTTTAAATAAAAGATTTATTGGCACAGTTTTTACTGGAAAAAATAAGCATCAAATTGAGATTTTATTTGGGACGATTTTTTTACTATTTTTTAAAGCAGTTTTTTAGTACAAATTTTTGAATTAAAAAATTGTTTTAAGAAACAGTAAGAAATCCATCCCAAACGAATTCTTAGACAAAGTTAAAACTATCTTTCTTCTTAAAAGATCAACATTTCCAAGGACAAACCAAAATTTTCTTGCAGGTAACCTCCAAATAATTTGATTTCCATAGGAGTTCAACATATGCTTACCAAGATCAGCAGCAACTCTATGAGCACACATTATTCCAGAAAAGGCAACAGCTATAACTCCTTGTCCTGGGAAACAGCTGTCACCAACGCAGTAAAGACCGTTAATGGCCTGCAAGAACCATCAAGTTGTGTTAGTATGGAGTCTCTTCGATGATTAATTATTCTGTGTGGACGCCGAACGTCATCTGGAGTCCAATCAAAATGCGCCACATCACCTCTTGCTCGATACCGCAGCTCAGTACTGATGAAGTGGTGCATTCTGATGAAGTGGTGCATTCTGATTGGCCTCCGAATAGCATTCTTCGCGTGGTCTCCGGACAGAATAATTTCTCCTCTTCAAAATGTTACAAAATTCATCATCACTTCTTCCCATGATATAGTACTATTTTCTGCAGCAGCCAAAGAAGCTAAATAAACTCACCGTTGTATTAAAAGGCATCCCAAGCAAACCTTTAGGTACATTTCGTGGCATTGGGCCATAAGTACCACTATCCCTGCCAAGAAATCTCCTATGAGTTTTTGGCGTACCCACCTGCACAGAAGAGATATCATCGTAGATGTCCCCCTTCAAAGGGAAGCAAGTTTTTTTTTTTTCTTAATTTCTCTCTTATTGAAAGAAAGAATGCAAAACAAACTAGGAGGACACTGTAATCAAGTTCATGTATACGAAAAACTGTTAGGTCGGTTCCTAAACCGACCCAGCCGACCCCACATGGGCCGGCCTTAGTCTACAGGAGGCAGGTCAAACCGCCTCCCATGTTGCCGCCCAGTAATAGTGCCTAGTGGGATCCCTTATTTGAATTAATATATTTGATTGAATTTATTTTTTGCAAGGGGCGTGGACGGCTAAGGCTATAAATAGGCATGAGAGGTAAGGGATAGGGCATGCTTGAATATTGTTTTCTCTTGGAGTCTCTTGGGTGTCTAGAGATTGGGAGAAAACGATCCTCCTCTCGAATAGAGGATCAATTGTATCTTTTCTTATGTTTGCTTTGCTTTGAGTATTTAATAAAAATCTATGGTTATTTTGGGCTGTTTCATTATCGATCTTGTGTCTTCTCGCTGTTCTTATCAATTTCTTGTTAGGGTTGCTTGCGAACTCAAGTACATCTGATAGAATTACTTGCAAACTCAAGTATTTCCTATCAAAAACCTAAGATAATCTGCTAATCCATTTATAACAAATATATGGATATTCAAAGTCAAAGAATCATTTAACATTTTAGCAAGCCTAATAGATATTAACATTAACACCTAGTTATGCAGGTCTCCTGGCTGAACATCTTTAAAGGATTCGGATTTATGCTTAACTGCGGAATGTTACAAAAGAACCACCAAATAGATTCAGATTGTAATCCAATTATTGAAAGATATTCTAAGCCATCGTCACTACTAGGACAACCAAACTATTTTTGGTCGGCTCAAACTTCATAATATAAGTGAATATCTGAATGATTACTCCTGTGTACGGAACAAACGTAGAAGTCATATTGTTGAGCATTCAGTGTGATACAAAACTATTTTTTGACAGAATAAAATAGACTGAAGAAAAAATAAGTTGATGTTTCTAGTGAAGTTCGCTTTTGTCCCTTCGGTTCCAATCACATTCAAGGCACCCAAAATTTATCATTCCCACCCTACCCTCGATGTCAATAGGGTGGTCACTATTAGAGATAAGGATTGAGCCCGGAAATTAAAAAGGGAAGCGAGGGAAGATTGAGTATTAGTGATTATTATAAAAGAATCTGTTGAACCCCTTCGATAGAGAAGAGTTAATTAAATTGAGTGGCAGAGATGATTCAACAATAGAGAAACTTTGAGGGCAAGGCTGGAACCAGGAGGAGCTCATGATGGGCAATTGTCCACCCTAAAAAAAAAAATTCCCCTTTAAAGAATAAGCGTTGTAACTATTTTGCTCGCCTTCAGTAATTTTAGTCACTCAAATTCTTAGAAAAAACATTCATTTTTTCTATTTCATACATAAAATTATGCATTTCACAATCATATTTTGCCCACCCTCAAAAGAGATGCCGGTTCTGCCCCTGTTTGAGAGGAATCTACAAAAGAATCTAAGAGGCCAGAGAGAGTTTTGGATAAAAATACAAGATCATATTATAGAATTCATGCGCCTCACACAAGCTGTGACTTGCAATTTTTAAGTAAGAGCTGGTCAGTACTACAAAATTGGCTAAATAATATAATTATATAGAAAATACATAACTTGGACTCGATATAGCTAGTTGTGTAGCTGATGAGTTCCTTAAGAAGGTAGACTTGGCAAGTAGGCGACTTCACAAGTCCTTAGGTGAGATTAGTATATCAGTGTTAGGAAAAAGTAAGGTTGATTCTTTGGCAACTTGACAAGATTCGGGAATAAAAGACTCTAGGATTTGGATGACTTAAATCATGGCAAGTTCTAAGTTGTTACAATCCAAGCTGGTCACATTCAGTGACTTGTTGAACCCAGTTCAGGCTCCCATAAAGACCTGATTGAATTAACTCAGAAAAATAAGGGTCTACATTAATTATTTGATTTTCCTGTCCCTTCGAACAAACTGAGAAGGATAAGATAATGAAAATTCAAAAGACCTCAATTCAGCCTATGAGAATTGAACACGATCTGCAGCATTGGCATTATAAAGTGCTTGACACATCATTATTAAAACTCAAAACTAATATAGGATGGTAATAATTCAAATTCCATGTCAGCAAATTCAAATAATCCGTCCAAATGATAAGCATTTTAAAAACATAATATGCATGCATAATTCCACATTCAATTAATTGGAAAAGTAACGAATAACATCAATAATTTAAAAATTCTTCCGCACTAAGCAGCATCTCAAATACCTCTTTTAGCACTACTGAGTCCTTGAGACCAGGAAATAGTTTCTTTTCAAGCCTCGTGATGATTTCATCAGCCACAAGTTCCTTCTTCTCTTCATATTCCTTGCGAGATAGACCCTATTGCAAGGAAAATACCATTAAAGCTTGAATTCGCATAGAAAATTGACAGCGGCAGCATTTTGAAACCCCGTCACATTCTGTACTTCGAAAGGCAAACCAAAGAATCAAATGAGTTAGAACTGGCCTCAGATGTTGAGAGCATTTGTACTTGCCTGCCAATCTTCTAAACTTGATGTTGTAAATATATGAAAAATGTGATGCCCTTCAGGAGTCAAAGATGGATCAAGAACCGTTGGAATACTCAAAAAGATGCTTCCATAAGGCATCTCTAACTTATCCCAGTTGTCCTGCATGTAACCATAAGAGCAAGCTCTCTCCCTGTTCCCTTATATTTTGACTCTATACAATTCAAATGCAAAAGCTTCTATGTACCTCTAGAATGAAATGGTGGCAGTCTGTATCAGGAGGCAAAACGAATGCTTTAACCCCCATGTGAATGGAAAGAAATGATGGTGCCTTCAAATAGATTTTTTGGAAGTTTTTCTCCTCTTGTGGAATGTCATCAACTTTTAACAATTTACCTGTAATGTAAAAGGGACGGATGATGACCAGCATACAGTCTATGCATGTATTACAATACAAATTCCTGCAATTCTAAGCATCGTTATCAGTCTCCGGTAAGGATTCTGATAGGAAACACTTGTAGTCTCGAGTTTTTCCTATCAAACTTCGTAAAAGTTAAAACAGCGAGATTTCTCCACAAAAATCCACACAACCACGAAAATAGTAGATAATTTGTATTATTCAAGAGGAGGATCGATCTCTCCCAATCTCTAGACACCGCTAGAGCCCAAAGGAAAACCTAAATCTAAGAGATCTCAAATTTCAACCAAATTCAAGATGCCCTAACCTTAGGAAAGCAAACTATTTAATACATAACAATCAAAAGGAAATCCCTAAACGGTTCCTACATTCAAATTTCTCTCCCAATTCCCTGAAAGATCCTTCCAAAACAGCGTTTTCCAGTCGGGCGGTCAGATCATGTGCACAGGAGGTGAACATTTCTTGTAAGCCGGTCCCTCCTGGACCGGCTAGACCGGTCTAACATATTCACGTATAAAATTATTTCAATACATCAGCCTTCATGTAGTAATGCTTTCATAAACCTTCATGTCACAATGAAACATGATGGCCTAAGGGCCAGGATTGTGTCAGCCTCCTTGTAAAATATCTGGACAATGAAACATCAAAGGGCACAGGGCTGAAGATGTCACTTGGCACATCTCATTTATGTTTTTTCTAAGGCATCTATTGGACCTGGTGTAAACTCAAGTTGACAAAAATTAGATATAATCTGTCATTATCAAATCCATTTTGTTTTAGATTCCCCTTACTCTTCCTCCCTATACTTCTCCCTAAATATCATTTTCACTTGGGTGTTCCTAAAATTCAAGCTCTAGACTATGATCTTTAATAATTACTATTTGAAAAATAAATAAATTTATAGATGTTTACAATATAATACCTACATATAACACTCAGTTATTAAACCTGAATATTAAATATAGCAATATGGTTTAGGTGTAAAAATTTTGCAATATTTCTTAAAGAATATCATGTTGCAATGTTTGTAGAGCCATACTGCATGGGTATGCACTTGTTTAACAAATGACAATACATGCTTTTAGAGAGCACATTTATGCCGGCTTCAAAATAGCAGTCCTTGAATGATTGCAATAAGCAGGGGATATATGACCGCTACAATGGCTTTCACAGATGTAGCGGTCATGAATAAATGTTACTTTAATAAAAGGAAGTTTCAACAGTTTGAGACAGGCAGTACCAAATGTATCCCATCTAGTTGCATTTGATATCACTGTTTTGGCAAAGAACTCCCTTCCATCTGATAGCCTCACTCCTACCTGTACAACAAAGATATATTTAGAATAATATTGACCGCCCCTTCCCCACTTACAGTTCTGGGTTGCTATTGATTAATAGGATGGCACTCACAGCTTTTCCATCTTTAAGCACAATGTTTGTCACGTTCGCCTTATAAAGTAGTTTACTGCCCTTATTAACTAGTCCATTTGCCAAAGCTTTAGCTATACCACCAACACCACCAACAGGGTAATTGATTCCTCCAAAATGTCTATCACAAAGTACCTGACAAAAAAACAAAACGAGGAAGAAGAATTAAGGTATTTGCTATGCTTCTCTTTAATTAGTAAAACAATTTGGGGAAGCATTACTACCATGCTTGCATTAATCATTGGTGTATGCAGAGCGTTGACTGTGCTCACAATGAAACACTGGAAAGGCACAAAAGCATAAGACACATACTAAACTACTAATCGCTGGTTTAAGCAACATAAGCTGCGGAATATGGATTTAGGTGTTTATAAATAGAAAATATTCAAACCTCAGCATCAATGAAGGACAGCAATTGAGGATCTTTTATAAATTTTCGAGCAATATCACCAGCATTTTGAGGCAGATAGAAAGCTTCAAAATAAAAGCATCTTATCAAGGAAAGGTGAAGACTAGATTGATTCTATGCTAATGATTGCCTTGTTAAAATAACTTATGAAGCATATCGAAATAAGTAAAGAGGCCATGGATAAATTTAGAATACACGACTCCAAGAAAAAATAGTACTTGATGAATTACCAAGTGTCAGACATTCAACAGGCTTCTTGAAAAACTGCCCAAAAAGGTATATGGGCTCCTCCAATGACTTGAGCTCCAATGAATTCAACGAATTGAAAATCTAATCATGTAAATGGCTTTTAATTCAGTAATCAATCAAAAGAAGAGCACTGTATAAAATGAATATAAAGCTAGTATACCTTCCAGCACTCATTATAAAATCTATGGATCCCTTCCTTCTCATGGGGGAAATGATTGACAAGTTCTGAAATGAACATATCATATTCCCTATGTACACGAACAGAAAGGTTATCCGGAAGGTGAAAGTGAACTGTAGTAGGGTCAGGTATGACCTGCAACTTGCAATCAACTGCCTCCAATGCTTGTGTAATTAAGTTCAGATTACCCTGTTCAGAATAAATTTTACAACATTCTCCTACAACACAGACTAAAATCATAAATTCATAAGAGAAATCATTCAATCAAATAACTACAAAAAATGATACCAAAATCAGTAAGGAAAAAGATTGTACTCATTGTCCCAATTGCAGTGGCAATGTCAGCAAATAAAGTCAAATTACCATCGAACCGAAATATGCCAACAAAAAGACAATCTTCTGCAGCTACATGTCTTAGCTACCAATCCAAATACCACATTAAGAGAGAACAACAAATCTATCAACGGTCACCTTCAACTTTCTCAATACCCCGGTCACCTTCAACTTTCCTAATGCTAGAATGCAAAGCATCATTGGTTAACGTTAGCATTAGATTTTAGACTAGTGGATTATGTTTATTATGTTGTAACTCCGGAAATTGTATTTATTACCCTATTATAAATTGGGGGTCTTAAACAAGACAAAAACTTCTCTCTCTTACCAAAGTATCAAAGCAAGATGAAACGTATATAACAATGATGGAGTGATCTATGGTGTTGCTTAGAAGACAAACTTAGCAAGTGGTTAGTGAAATTTATCGAACCACACTTGAAGTCTTTTCTTTAGCCTAGGGGTGCAAACGAGTCGAGTCGAGCTCGAGTCAGTAGGTGTTCGAGTAAAGCTCAACTATCAAATACCGAGCTCGAGATCGAGCTCGAACTCGAGTCGAGCTCAAAAGTCGCGCTCGAGCCGCTCGTCGAGCCCCAAACGCGATCCGGTTCGCCTTCCAACACGCATGGCACAACTTTCAAAAAATTAATTCTCAGTTTTAATTTGCCTTAAAAGTAAAATTGAGGCGGGAAAGAGAGAGAGAGAGGGTATTGAGATTTGAGCCTTTTTTCAGCTTTGTCAGAAAAGGAAATGAGTGTTAGTTGTTTTTGCATTTATTAGAGATAAGAGAGGCCAAATCAGAGAAGAGAGAGAGAGAGAGAGAGAGAGACGTTTGAAATTTCATGTGGTTTTTCAAGATTTCAAGCGGGATTTTTAAATTTCAACCAACAAAAAATTTAAGCTATCCCTATGTCATCATTATTAATTTTTTAAATATTTAAATTTAATAATTTCGAGCCGGCTCACGACTCGCGAGCCTTTTCAAGCTCGAACTCGAGCTCGTTTAATGAACGAACTCGAACTCAAGCTCGAGTTCGACTCGTGAGCTCAATAAGCTTGGCTCGCTAGCCCATAAACGAGTCGAGCTCGAGCCGGCTCGTGAGCTAGCTCGGCTCACTTACACCCCTACTTTAGCCCATAAATAGTAGTGTTGAGCTCAAATAATTTGGAATGCCCCCTGAGCAAAATATCCTTATGGCTGCTCCATATAAACGACTTAAATGAAATCTTCATAAAAAAATGCATTATTCACATCCATTTGCGACGATGGACAATCATGATTTATGATGACAAACAAAAAATGCATATGAAGTTGAGTATGGCAACTGGGAGAAGGTGTCAAAAAATTGATCTGGCAAACATGAGTAAAATCTATGGCATTCAATCAAACCTTGTATGTATCAACAAAGTCATTAGGATAAAATTTAATGATGTAAATCCAACAACCTAGAAAATAATCTAATGTCATGAGGATGGGTAACTAGATCCCATCCATGCCAATTTTTCGAGGCTATCATTTCAATATTCATACTATGTTTCCACCTAAGATCGTGCATGGCCTCTTGTTACGCCATGGAATATGAAATTGATGTCAAAGACATAGCAAAATGATGGAAGTCAATTAAGATATGATCAAAGGACATATAACTATATAAGGATTAATAAAATGACCATAACATTGTCTATTACATTTTTAACAAAAATGAGCACACGAAAATCTAGTAAGCCTCCAAGAAGCAAATCTTCATAAAGTTGGATAATGTTGACATGTTATTGTAGAAAGATGATTAGGTGGATCTGTGTAAACTTACGGGGGTAGAGATACATGCATAAATAATCTAAAAAGAATAGGAACGGATTGGGATAGGCGGCCTGAATATCTCAACCAGGGCCACACTTTCAAAACAAACAGCTTGGCAAGTCGCTTGATAAATGAATTTCCCGATTTGACTCTGACAAAGACACGGTATCAAATATAATTGATACATCACCAAAAATCACCTTAATCAGGCGTGAACCTCAAAGCATAATAAAGTTGGCAACTATCAAAATTAAAATTGTGGTCATCCAAACTCCTATTTCAACAAACTTATAGTCAAATTGAATGGCTCGAAGAGAAGAATCCAACGACACAAAAATCAATCCAATTCAAGCCCAAATAGGCCCAATTCAAGGGACTGAATCACATTTGGAAGGTTCACACCATAAATTGGATGATCAAATGATATCTAAATCTTGCATGCTTATAGTCAAATCGACTGGCTTGACAAGACAAATCCAACGACCCTAAGATCGCTTAATTCTAACATAATTAAGTCACTTAAATGCTTGATGGATGCTCTATAATCAAGGGAATCAATATGGGACATCTGATGGAGCATTCCAAATTTACCCTAAACCTTCTCCATATTTACGGGGTACACCACTTTCAAAAAATATATAAACAGGCTCATGCTCTCTTCATGAGAGAGGATTAACTGCAGATTGAAGAGAACTCTGCGGCTTTGAGGGTCTTAGAGCTTCACCCAAGCATCACCACAGGACAACTTCCACTGGCCAGCCAGACCACAAACCTATCGTCATACCACCGCCCGGCCGCCGATCTCCGCCAAACTTTTGCCCGACCATTATCGTACTACCACCCGACCACCAATCATCGTCGGACCACCAATCTCTGCCAGACTTCCGCCCCACCATCTTCAGACCACCGTCCGATGATCTCGGCAGAACCTCTGGTCGATCGCTAACCACCGTTGGACCATCGCCCGCCTTCCAACGGATGGTCAAACCACTGCCCAACCGTCAATCTCTTTCGAACTTCAGCCCGACCATCGTCAGACCACCGCCTGATCACCAACCGTCTTCGGACAACAACTTGTCCGCCAATCATCGTCGGACCTCCTCCCGGCCACAAACAGTCGTTGTACCTCCGCCCGACTGTCATCGACACCACTCCGACCACCTTCGCTCGCCGAGTATAGTCCCTCCAACCACGGCTGCCCGCCGACTACGATCCCTCCGACCACCGTCACTCCCAGACTATTGTCCCTTCAACCACCGTCGCTCCCTGACTACTATCCCTCCGACCATAATCACCCGCCAACGGCCCCTCTGACAACTGTTGCCCACCAATTATGATTCCTCCTACCTCCATCGCCCACCGACAACGATCCCTATGACCATCGTTGTCGCCTGGCAACTACAATCCCTTCGACCACTGTCGCCCGCCGACAATGTTACCTCCGACCATTGTCGCCCGTCGACTACAGTCTCTTTGACTAACATTGTCCGTCAACAACGGTCCCTCCAACCACCGTTGCCCATCAACTACGATCCCTCCAACCACCGTCTCTCACTGACTACGGTCCCTCTGACCTCCATCGTCTGCCGACAACAATCCCTTTGATTACCGTTGCCCTTCGACTACGGTCCCTCAGACCATCATCGCCCACCAACTACGGCCCCTTCAACCACCATCACCCGCCGACTACTGTCCCTCCAACCACCATCGAGCCTACGGTCCCTCTAACCTTTGTTTCCTACCAACTACGGTCCTACCAACAAAACAAACATGCTAATACTCTCTTGAGGACAGCTCTCGTATCACTAGATTCTTCCAATTCCCACCATGTAATGTCTTATATATGATGTATATTTGCTACATTGAGTCAAAAAATTCACCCCCCCCCCCCCGAGGAAGGGCCTCATTTGTAATCAATAATAAACACTAGCATAATCATTTCAACAAAGCTAGTTCCATGTTTTTTCCTTTCTTCAAGATTTTCCACATAAAAATCTTTATGTCTCTTGTAACTCTTGCACCTCTCTTTATTATATGTCTGTGTGCTAGACCTTTGTACAAAACTTGAAAGCTAAACTATATATCACTCTATTGTCGTGAATGTTTTAGGACGGAAACAAAATATTTTTATGACAACTAATAGGCTTTTTAGCTATGATGCACTAACACTTCTCCTCAAAGAGGCATGCAGAGTCTGACATATATCCGACACGCGTCCGACACGACACGCATCTGACACGCCTACAACACATGTCGGACACGCCGAAAACATGTTCGATTAAAAAAAATATTATATACAAATTGGACACATGTGTCTTAAATATTTTATGGATTTTTTTTAAATATAATTTCTTGTATTAAAATTTTTTTGGGGATTTACATACATATCACTTTATTTCATGTTATTTACATATCTAACATCCAAAACATTAATATTACATGCCTACCACCTGTAGAACAAATTTGAGTGCATGGAATGAAATATTAAAGTTTATAGATGGTATAAATTGTATGAAAGAATTATAGAAGTGATATATTTAATATTAAAGTTTTATATGGGTGTTATGTATGTAATATGAATGTTTTAAGTGTTAGATATGTAAATAGCATGAAATAAAGTGGTATGTATGTAAATTTCCCAAATTTTTTATTTATTTAAAAACTAATTTTTTTATTTTTTATCCACAACACAAAATCAATCATCCACACTCAATATCTCATTCATCAAATATTCTCGTTTTCATTCTCTATAGTGGGTTCAACTTTGGTTTCACAATAATATCAAATGTCATCTCAAAATTGACGTCTGACGTCACTACAAAATCAATGTTTCAAAATCATCTCAACATCAAAGTCTGATACCGTCTTGATATTGATGCTCGATGCTAGCAATTTCTACACCCATAACTTGATACCTCATCTTTGTCCGACGTCTTCTTAATATCGATGACAAACGTTCTCTTGACATTAACGTCTGATACTTACTACATAGCATCAATGCCCTACTATCGACAACATTTTCATCTCATTTCTCGATATATGATACAGAGCATCGATGTCTGACTCTCGACATCATAATATTAATCATTTTAAAGTACAAATTCTAGTTAAATAATTTATTATTTCTAAATTATTTTTAATATTATACTTACTCAATTTTAATACACTATTTTTAAAATATAAAAATTATAATATCGTATCCAAACCATGTCCGTGTCCTATTTTTCAATAATTGACGCAACCCATGTTTCTGTCCTTGTCATGTCATATCCGTGAAGCCCTGTATGTCTATGTGCATCGTAGCTTTTTAGCAATCTCACTCACTCATTTGGTCTGCCCAATTGGATTATTTCTCAAGAAAATCAGGTGACAAACACTAATCAATTAGATCTAGTGTCTGGTTTGGTTAAAAATTAAAAAATTAAAAAAAAATCCTCTGGTTTGGTTCGGACGATTTACACTGAACAAATTTGGATTTCGATTCAACATATATTATAAGACGCAATTAAAACAAAGCTAGGCCAAAAACCAGATAAACTATCACCAAAAAATTAATATTTTGGGTGTTAGATATGTAAATAGCATAAAATAAAGTTGTATGTATGTAAATTTCCCAAAAAATTATTAGCTTCAGCCCAAGAAAAAGCAGCACCAGCATGCTGAACAAGACAGGATGAGTTTAACCAATGACCTTGTCGCTAAACCCAAACATGACGGATGAGCCTACATCAAAAGTGAAGCCGTCCCTCTGGTAGAACCCAGAGCTTCCACCGGGAATCACGTATTTCTCGAGCACCAAAACCCTAGCCCCCTTAACAGCAAGCTGCGTAGCTGCCACCAATCCCCCGATCCCCGATCCAATCACGATGGCGTCATACTCTTCCGCCTCCTCAGCCTTCCCTCCCCCGTTTTCAACCGCCCTCTCCGCGCTCAGAACCGCCTTTGGCCAACTCCAAAACCCTAAATTCTTCCTCCTCAAGCAAGGAGAATGAATCCATGATCTCATGCTCCTCCGGCTAAAGGAACTGTGAGGTGGGAATTTGGGTGGCGAAACGGAGGAGGAATTAAGGCTTAAGCTAAGCATGGCTCTCAATCCTGATAAATGGAGGATGACCACCGGATGAAACGTCTACAGACGATATTGATTTGTTTTGTATTTGTGGAAGCGAGTCTCAGTTCCAAGTGATAGCGGAGAATTCAGAAGGGCGGAAGCGTAGGGAAGAGCTATCTGTTCTTGGCCGCGACAGTGGAGATTCATAGAAGGAAATAGTTAGGCGCGACAAGAAATTAGTTTTTTTTTTTTTTATAATTTATGTTCCTATATTCTTATTAAATAAATAGTTTTAACTTTTTAGTTAATTTAATTTAAACTAAATATAATTCATAAATATTTAATATTCTACACATTTTAAAATAAATTTAATAATTTTAAAACCCATCTCTATCAAAAATTTTAGGGGAATTTACATACCATTTTATTTCATGCTATTTACATATCTAACACCCAAAATTTTAATATTACATTCCTATCATTCATATAAAATTTTAATATCAAATATATCACTTTTATATTTCATTCTTACCACCCATATCATCCTATAAATTTGAATAATTTATTCCATGCACCCATATTTATTATATGGGTGGTTGGCATGTAATATTAAAATTTTAAGTGTTAGATATGTAAATAGCATGAAATAAAGTGATATGTATGTAAATCCCCCAAAATTTAAATATAATATTCTAATTTTTATTTAAAATTTTTATTTTTATTTTTTACTTAAATTAAATTTGATTATAAACTCACAAACAGCATACAATTAAACCTCAGATTTAAAATTTTTTGGTTCAAGACAAAAACATCCGACTGGTATATCAAAATAAGCTATACATTTTTATTATTTACATAAATACCATTATTGTGGGCTAGAATATATGTGGCGATAGAGTTATGATCCTACGTCTTAATGTTATACGGATATCCAGCTCACACACAGAGAACACATGATTTTTAAGTGGAAACCCCTATAAAAGGGAAAAACCACGCGGCCTGACCCAGTTGAAAATGATTCCACTAGAATTTGAGTAGGTTACAGTGGGCTGACTCGCGATTACAAATATCAATCATATGGTTGAAGTTGAGGGTAAGTGAAAGTCTGAAATCACTTGATGGTCTAGTGGAACTTTGGGGTCACCAGGTGATTTGGTAGAATTACGGCATCACTTGAAAATTCGGGCGTTAGTTAACAGGAACATGGTATCCACAGGTGGCTTGAAATAACTCCGAACGTTAGGTGGTGGTCCGGCGGAGCTCAGGGAGCCAAGCGGTGGTCCAGCAGAGCTTAGGACTTCATGTGGGGGTCTGGCGGATCTCAAGGTGTCAAGCAATGGTTTGGTGGAGTTTAGGATGTTATGTGGTGGTCTGACGGAGCTCAAGGCGTCATGTGGTGGTCCGGCGGAGCTCAGGGTGTCAAGCGGTGGTTTGGTCGAGCTTAGGACGTCATATGTTGTGGTTCGACGGAGCTTAGGACATCATGTGGTGGCCCGGCGGAGCTCAGGACGTCAAGTGGTGGTCCGACGAAGCTCAGGGAGTCTAGTGGTGGTCAGGCATAGCTCATGGCGTCAGGAGGTGGTCCAACGGAGCTCAGGGTGTCAGGCGATGGTCCGGCGAAATTCCGGGTGGTGGTCTAGGTGGCAAGGAGGCGAGCGATCTCTGATCTCTCTCTTGAATCCTTTGGCTAAGGCATCCCTTTTCAAGAGGAAAAGGGACTCTATGTATAGATTTCTTAGAGTGTCATAACTTATAAATAGGTGAAAGATCAAGAGAAAATTGGGAGTGGTTTGGATGGACGGCCGATGTTGAATCCCTTGATTGTGGACCGTTTAATAGACATTTGAATGTCTTAGTGATGTCGGAATTCAGTGATATTGAGCTCGTTGGATTCGTCTCGTCGAGCCGCTCGATTCGACTAGAAGAACGACATCTTTGGAAAGTGTTTGGTAATATAAATTGTGATTCGAACCTTATAACAATACTTTTGACCCTTGATTTGGATCCATTAGGGCTCGGATTGGGTTGAATTTGGTGTCGTTGGGTTCATATTTTTTAGACATTCAGTACGACCGTAAGTTTACTGAAATCAGAGTTTGGATGATCCTAATTTTAATTTTGGAAGTTTCCAACTTGATTTTGCCTCGAGATTTGTGCCCGATCAAGATAATTTTTCGATGATGTATAAACCATCAATTTGTTTATATCTAAAATCTAAATTTATATTTCTTATAAAATATTTAATCATAGAATTATATGAAAAATATGAACTTTTAAATATATGTTAAGGTTCTTTAGTTATTGAAAATGTATATAATAAATAAATATTTAAGTATTTGAAATATAAATTTATAAGTAGTAAATATAAATTTCACCTATTAATTTCTCAAAAAATTGCTAAGGGAAGACAAGTTGGAATCGTATATAACCCACCCAAGTCAAATCAAATCAACTCGAACGTGACCTGTTTAATAAACGGATCAAAAAGACGAACACGAACTCAACTCGTTAACAACCCGAATGACTCGAACCCAACTAGTTAGAATGTTTTGGTAAAACAAGATATTAACTTAATAATTAAAAATTTTAAGATATTTGATCAAAAATAAGATATTATACTCACAAGTAAAAAAATTTAAGGAAAAATATATTAAACTTATCAATTTTGTATCAAAAGCAAGTTCACGTGTCAATCCGTGCCTGACACGTATAATAAATAAGTTAGAAACCCAACTGGAACTGGCCCGTTTCTTAAATAAGTCAACCTTAACTCAAATTTTTCGCCCCCTAGTAATTGATGAAACATATTTATAGTTTTACTTTGCCTATGCCACTGATGCCTAAAATTTGGTTTATACTTTGAGATTAGTGAATTACAAACCTTTTATAAATAAAACTAATATATTTTGTATTTGCATTGCGTATTTGTCAATTTTGTAGGGTGGGATGCGGACGCAATGGCTATATTATTTGTACTATGATGAGTTTAAAAATTATGGATTTACTTTGAGATTAGTATTGATACATCATCAAAATTTAACTAGATAAAACATGAATATCAATTCCCATCTAAATTAGAAGTATCTATAATTAAATTTAAAATCATCTAAACTTTGATATGGACAAACTTATACTCATATGAATTGGCTCAACGAGATGAATCTAACAACACAAAAAATGCTCCTATCCAAGTCCATATAACACCAACTCTAGAACTTGAAAGTATAGTGGATGTTTTAGAGTTTTAATTGGACGATTAAATAATTTTCAAAATTGGCATGTTTATAGTTAAATCAGATGTCTCAACGAGACAAATCTATTGAGCCCAATATCTCTTAATTCTAAAAACATTAACACACTTAAATACTAAACATCTGAGTTATGATTAAGGGAATAAATATAAATCATCCAATATAGTTTTCCTAATTTTCTCTATATTTACAGTGCATGTCATTCTTAAAAATTTATAAATATGCCCCAATTATCTACATAAAGAGTTGCATTAGTTAGAGATTTAAGAGAGTTCAAATGCTTGAAGAATCCTAGAGCTCCACCAGAGTATTGCCTCCATCAAACCTTCGCCAACCCACCTCTTCCGTTAAATCTCCACTAGCCGACCGTCACCATCACACCACTGCCTTCGCCTTCAGACCATCACCGGTCAATCATCATTGTCAGAATAGCACTTATACGTCATTGTCGTCCAACTTTCACAAAACCCACTGCAATCATTGAAGCTTTGTCACCCGACAGCCACTATCGAATTATTGCTCAATCATCGCATTCATACCATTGATGGTCAACCGTTTCTGTCAAAGTTTTGCCACCTTTATGTGTCAATTATTGACACAACATGAACCTAACCCAAAAAATTCAAATTCGAGTCAACTTGTTTAACAAACGGGTCAGGTTCATGTTCCAATTTATAACCTGTTTGAAAAATTGGCCCTCACTAACTCAAATTTGACCCGATTCCAGCTACGCACCTGCATTCCCGCACCCGCACAGGCTTGGCTACTCTGCCTACACATACGTACCAGCACAACACTGGCGCTCGTGCTGCCTGAAGCTTTCACTTGCACCCCCACACCCGTACTGTGAGAGCTCGTTCCTTTGATTTGCCTTCCAAGATCTAATTTTCCTTCCAGGATCGTCCAGGCCAATTTTGGATCGTCCTGGGACGATCAGTGCATGACAAAAGTCAGTGAGCAAGGGTTTTTATCGTCTGAGAAAATTAATTATCGTCCAGAGATATCATCCTGGACGATTGAATTTTGTTCACATCGTCCTGGACGATATGGCGATCGGCCTGGCCGATCAGGCTTGTTTTAAAAGAAAATCAGCTCGTTTTGATGAGAAAGAAAAATCATTTTTATAAACAAAATATCTGAGGAGAGAGAAGGAGAAGAAAAGCAAAGGAAAAGCTGGATTTCGGAGGCCGCGGAGCGCTTTTCGTCCGTCGCCGTTGTCGGAAGGATTGTTTATCTCGCGGTAAGGACTCCGAATCCTATTTCTGTTTTCGAAGATGTCGAGTTTTGGTATTTTTGGGCTCAGATTTGAGTTTTCGTTACCGAAAAACGCGCGCGTATTTTGTATTGACGAAACTTTCACCGCACAACTTTTGATATGTTATTGATATGATTTTTCTACACGTTTTGAGTATTTTCTGTAACGATTCTACCGGTTATTTTGGGTTCTGTGCGATTTTGATCGAATAAATAAATATCAGGTTGTTGATTGATGTTGCTTCAGTAGAATAGAAGTCTTATAATGTTGTCGTGCACGTTCTGTATTAATTTTGTAAATTATGATTTTTAGGAATTTTTGTGTAAATTCCGTATACTGCCGTTATGCCGCTGATTTTTCGTACGATTTCTGATTTTCTGAAATTGTTGATTTGAATTGATATGCATATGAATGTGAATATGATTTGTTATACTATTCTAATACTGAATACTGAAAGACAAGTGGAGCCTGGTTGAACCGTTGGTTGGAGATTGACTTGACCTGTACAGGATGGTGGGCCGACGGGCTTTCCTTTAAACTATTGATCATTGATATAACGATTGGAAGTCATAAGAAGTTTAATATGCTGACGGGCAGCCGACGGGCACAGAGTGACGACTCTTATGGAACCAACGGATGAATATCTACAACAGCACTATGGATTTCTACAACAGCACATAGATTATCGAATAGCCAGTGATTGCACTTGT